ATTGTTAAGTCATGTTATGAGGAGAGTAGAATCAGAAGCTGTAAGAACAGTTATAGAAATGAATTTTGAAGGAGAAGAGATAGAGGAAGACCAAAAAAGAGATGGAGGGATGCTATTGAATGCGATTTGAGGACAGCTTTGATTTGAGTATATCATATCCAACTTGATTCGTCAATAAATACTTTGAAAACATTAGAAATGAATGATTTTAAATGTCTGCATGGAGAACATGGGATAAGTAACTGTTTCATTGATAAATTAGAATTATTTTTTTAATTTTTGAGGGTNCTGTTTAATTGATAAATTAGAATTTTTTTTTCAATTTTTGAGAGTAATATCTTCAACTAGATACGAATTGTAGTAATTTGACGTATTGTTGAAAAAAGTAGGTCAAGTTAGAGCAGAGAAAATAAATGATAGTCACAAAAAAATACCTTCTCAGCTATGCATCGAAGCTAAAACTTAAAATATAGTAAAATAATTTTAATACGAAAAAGAAATTTCTTCTTGCAAGGGGCGACTAAAGTGATGGGATCCTTGATCTTTATTGAAGTTATTGAATCTAAATGACATAAAAATTAAACGAGTTAAAAATTTATACTAACTTAAAAAGAATTAAGAAAAAACGCAAAATATGAATTTTCTTACGCGGGTTGGTACCTCGTACCCCAAGCGTGTAAAACATAAATTTTACCAACTCGGCAACCGTACGTTGCTTCCGGCGGTTGAAAAATTGGCTATTTAAGCTAGTTCAAATTTCAAAGTTATTTTTCTCGACTTAAAAGAAGCAAACAAATTTAAATAAGTTTAACTTTCTATGCTATATTAATTTTAATTTATATAATATTTATTAAAATCTGTATTCCCCTTGTCAGGTANATTTATATAATATTTATGAAAATCTGTACTCCCCTTGTCAGGTATTTTAAAATAAAATAAAATACAAAACCCAGAATTTTAACACAAAAATAGCAAATTTTTGAATACGGTAGTCATTTTTACCATGAAGACAAATCCAGAGGTCAAATTTTTTTTTTCAAATAAACGTATATTACATAAGCTTTAATTTAATATATATATAAAAGTGTCAGTTTTTCCGGAACATTTTCAAAAATTAAGTTGAAAAGGTTCTACTTTCTATACACATTTTAAAAGGTTTGCACCCCCCCTGTATAAAGGTAAAAGGTCCGATTTAAAAAAAAAGTATGTCGAATGAAAGAGATNAATGGTCCGATTTTAAAAAAAAGTATGTCGAATGAAAGAAGTATATATAAAGTATTTATCATTAAAGAATAAAGTTGATTCATGCATTTTTTAAAAAGTTATAGCATCATAATGTTAAAAAATGTAAAATATAATATCAAGAATTTTTTCACAAAAATAGCATATTTTTGCATACGGTAGTCATTTTCACCATGAAGACAAGTCCAGAGGTCAAAATTTTTTTTTTCAAATTAAAGTATATTACATTAGCTTTAATTTAAGATATATATAAAAGTGTCAGTCTTTCCGGAACATTTTCAAAAGTTAAGTTTAAAAAGTTAATTTTAAAAAGTTAATTTTTTGAAACCTTTCTTGAGGGCTGTTAAAGGGTCAAATGTTCACAAAAATATATAAAATGATAGGTAAATATCTAAGATATTTATAAAAAAAAAATTATATTGATTCGATCATTTTTAATTAATCCTTCGTTGACTAGAATAAATATAACAAATAAAAAATTTGATTAGAATTAAAACAATGTTATTTTTAAGATTAATATGCAGTCAGGAAATTTTATAATTACTATTTACTGTAAATTTATCAGAAAAACTCATTATTTTTTGCATTTTTATCGTAATAGAACACTTAAATAGAAATCATAATAATCATTTCTAAGTAATTTTTGGTATTTAAAAAGATTCTACTATTGAAATATCCAGAACTGAATTAATTTTAATGATTTACTTTAACTAAATGAATCAATTAAAACAAAGTTGTTAAAAAGAATTACTCAATTGAGCGTATTATAAAATTTGATTATAATTGGAAAAATTCATTATTAATTTAGGAGAAACTAACAATCATTTTTCTTAGAAATGATTTATATAGTAACATGTTACCAAAAAATTTGTAATATTGTAGTCTAGTAGTAGTACACACAAATACAGTAAAAAATTTATTAAATTACAAAGTAAAATGATTTAAACCTATCATATCAAATTATCATATCCAACTTGATTCGTCAATAAATACTTTGAAAACATTAGAAATGAATGATTTTAATTGTCTATATGGAGAACATGAGANTTTTAATTGTCTTTATGGAGGAAATGGAATAACTAACTGTTTAATTGATAAATTGAATTTTTTTTTCAATTTTTGAGGGTAATATCTTCAACTAGATACGAATTGTAGTCATTTGACGTATCGTTGAAAAAAGTAGGTCAAGTTAGAGCAGAAAAATAAATGATAGTCACAAAAAAATATATTCTCAGCTTTGTATTGAAGCTAAAACTTAAAATATAGTAAAATAATTTTTATATGAATAAAAAATTTCTTTTCGCAAGGGGCGACTAAAGTTTATTGAATACAAATGAGATAAAAATCAAACATTTACAAATTTACAATACAAATTTAAATAAGTTTAACTTTCTATGCTATATTAATTTTAATTTATATAATATTTATGAAAATCTGTACTCCCCTTGTCAGGTATTTTAAAATAAAATAAAATACAAAACCCTAAATTTTAACACAAAAATAGCAAATTTTTGAATACGGTAGTCATTTTTACCATGAAGACAAATCCAGAGGTCAAATTTTTTTTTTTCAAATTAAAGTATATTACATAAGCTTTAATTTAAGATATATATAAAAGTGTCAGTATTTCCGGAATAATTTCAAAAATTAAATTGAAAATATCTTAGTAACAATACGCATGTTTAAAGTTTTGACCCCCCTTGTTAAAGGGGTATGATCCGATTTACAAAAAAAGCGTGCCAGATGAAAGGGGTATATAAATATTTATTATAAAAAAATAATAATATTGATCCATACATTTTTCCAAAAGTTATATAAAATATAAATTAAATAATATAACATATAAAATCGAGATTTTTTTCACGGAAATCGTACGTTTTTCTTTAAATACGGTAGTCATTTTTACCATGAAGACAAATCCAGAGGTCAAATTTTTTTTTTTCAAATTAAAGTATATTACATAAGTTGTAATTTAATATATATATAAAAGTGTCAGTATTTCCGGAATACTTTCAAAAGTTAAGTTGACAAAGTTAATTTTTTGTAATAAAGTTACCATTTTGAAGCCCTTCCTGTGGGCTGTAAAAGGGTCAAATATTCACAAAAATATATAACACGATAGGTAAATATCTAAGGTATCTATAAAAATTATATTGATTCGGTCATTTTTAAAAAAGTTATGGCACTTTTAAGTAAAAAAAATTGAAAAAATATCGAAAATTAGCGATTTTTAAATTTGTAATTTTTTGGGGGATTTCCCCCGTTTACGGGGAACGAGGGAATTTTTTTCAATTTTTGAGGGTAATGTCTTCGACTAGATACGATTTGTGAACTTTTGACGTATTGTTCATCAAAATCGGACTAGCGAGAGCTGAGATTGAGCGTTCACAGACATAAAAAAAAAAATAAATAAAAAAAAAAATAAAAAAACACATCATAGTAAAATTAATACCTTCTCAGCTTCGCATTGAAGCTAAAATTTTGTTATCATTAATAATTTCTTCTTATTCAGTTTTAAAAATTGAAAATCGGTTCTTAGCATTCCCTTGCATCACCGACCAATAAAAAATGATTTCAAGAAATTTTAGCCGAAAATTAATTTTAAATGAAATAAACTTTTTTTTAAACTAATTAAGTATCAAAAAAACTCATCTTATCTTTTAACTTATCTAGTTAAATTTATAATTTAATAACTTTTAACTGTTAATTTATCGACATGTACATACTTAACTTAACATGAGAAATTATTTCCATTAACTTGCCTCTCTCGGGTTTTGATGTTAATTGAAAATAATAATGACTTTAAGACGATTGAATTGTTTGTGTGACATCATTCTCGCGTCATTTGAAATGAATACGTCATTTATGTCAAAAAATTATGAATATAGAAAATTGTCAAACGTTAACTTCGATAAGAAAATGAAAAGGTATTAATTTTACCAAGATGTGTTAATTTTTTTGTGTCTGTTACTATTTTTTCTCAGCTCTCACTAGACTAATTTTTCTCAATAATACGTAAAAAGATCACAAATCGTATCTAGTTGAACACATTACCTTAAAAAAAATTTTCTTCGTTCCCGTAAATGGTGAAAACCTACCAAAAAATTACGATTTTTAAAATCGGTAAATTTCAACATTTTTTTCTAAAAATTACCATAACATACTGAAAAATTAATGTATCAAAATAATTTTTTTTTTATATTGAATCCTTAGGTATTTTCCCTTTATTTGAAATAATTTTTTTGAAATTCTGACCCTTTACTTGCCCACAGAGAAGGAATCATAACAACTTTTTTACAAAACTCAACTTTTTCAACTAAACTTTTGAAAAAGTTCCGGAAATACTCCGTCCTTTAAACATATTTATAAACACGAAGTTTTACTTAAAAATAAATTTCAAACATAGCAATTCATCTTAATTTTTTAGAGTTATATAATAACAATTTAAAAGCGCTTTTAATGTTTAAATGATTTAGATCATTAAAAGTTTTTGATATGTTTTTTTATATGCCTAAAATGATAATAAAATCATTGTTGTATCATTTGATGAATATTTATTTCAAATGAAATTTAGCTAATTATCTTCCTTATTAAATTAACGTATTAATATAATAGACAAACATGATAAAATTTTTTATACTCCGCATTTATTAAAGTCTTAATTAACATTATTGGATTGATATAAATAATGATGAAAAAAAATTTTTTTACCATTTNCATTATTGGATTGATATAAATAATGATGAAAAACAATTTTTTTACCATTTTAAGTTTTAAAATAACTTGCCAAGATATTAATAAGCTATAGGAATATATTTCTTTAAATATAAAAGAAGTCTTTAAATATGGCAAATTTTTGTCCATATAAATGTATTTCCCATTATTTTTTAGTCATATTGTTATTTAGTATAAGTTCTGCTTCAGTTAAGTTTCCAGATAATTTTTTATTTGGTGCTTCATCAAGTGCTTATCAAATAGAAGGTGGCTGGAATGAAGACGGTAAGTAGAACACGTTTTCAGAAAAATAAGTTCCCTAATAATTTATAGGGAAATTAGAGTCTTTAAAATAAAAAAAAATAAAAAGTCCTTATTTGCCTTAAAAAAAAAATCGATTTCGTTAATTTGTAAACAACGCTGAAAAAATTGTATGATATAATATACTTAATAAATATTTTTAATTTAACACATAAACGGAAATTTATAATGTTGGTAATCATTTCAACGTAATGTGGCAGTTGAATTTCTACTATCATTTGGTACCATTGAAAATACTAATATTATAGCTATAATGCCATATCATGAATTTGTTCATGTTACTACAATAACAGCATTGTCATCTAAATCAAAATATCATATTACTGATATTGCAGTAGTGTCCTCTAATCTGTTAATAACCAATATTTTATTTATTTTTATATAATAAATAAAATCCCTAATTTTATCTTGATAATATAATAGAAAAAATTTTAAAAAATTTGTTGTTTAAATTGTATTTTGCGATCAACTGTTTGCCCGGTTCAGCGTATTAAAGTTAAGTTTGTTTAAATTAAATTTCCATCGTTATCTACTGTTTTGTATACAGAATTCATTGATGACTATCAATAAATGCGTATTATTATATTCCATACAAGTTTACCATCATGCATTGTTGGACCACCAGTGTTGAAAACCGTTAGTTAACTACTGTAAAAATAATTTATAAGCCATTAACACAGATTATTAATGCCTAACGGTTAATCAGATAAGTAAATTATAATAACAAAATTGTTTATAATTTTTTTTCTATCATATTATCAAGAAAAACTTATGGATTCTCGTTTAAAAAAATTAATGTTAAGGTTATTTATCCCTGAAGGAATGAAAAAAAATTATTAACTACTTAGTTTTGTAAAGTTTTATAAATGAAACAATATGTTACTTTACAAAAATTAAAAATGTTCAATAGTTTCCGAGAAAATGAGTGTCTTATCATAAATTATCCTATATACAGTACCAGAGAATTTTTTTATATTTTAATCCTCCTATGTACCCAAAAATCTAAAATCCTAATTAATATACATTGATTAGAATAAAGAAAAATAAAAACAATTATTTATTATGTATGTACTTGGGATAACTAAAATAAACTTTTAAAATACATTAAGTTCCAAATCCTAGTCACTATTATCAGTCTTGTTAAAGTACTCGAATATTTTTATTTAAATTCTAGTATTTGGATATTTTTTTAGTATTCTTAGTATACTTTTTAGTAGTATTTGTATTTGAAATACTAAGTATTAGGAATATAAACACACTTTAGTATTTAAAAGTATCTTTAATTTAAAAATTTTTGTTATTGAGACAGGTGTGGATCCTGTAAAATTTTAGGAGTGATATTTTGCTACTTCTGATAACGTTATACCTTTTTTTCTCAATAACTAGTCATTAAAATTGTCAATTTTAATTGCTTATATACCTTTTTGTATTCGCGCTTGCGTTGAAATAGAATGGGCCAAACTTATTTATGAAAATCTTGTAATGATCAGATTTGTAAAGTTATATGATATCATTTTGTATGAAGAGTTTTATTGCTGCGAAGAGTCCGAGCGTTCAAAACAATAAAAACAAGTGATACAAAAATTATTAATTATTTGCTCTATTTTTTTAGGTATAAAAACAAGGTAACTGGTAAATTAATCTTTAATAGTACAACGAGGCAATGAGCGGCGGTGGCCTTCTCTCGAATACCTTGTAATATGACTAATAGATATACCTAATAATATAATAGACATACTAGTCAGTAAACTAGTTCATACTTTAATTAATTATTATAATAATTGATTAAAGTTTGTAATTTGATATGTAAATATTATATCTATTGTTTTATCGTTCTTCACTCAGATTATTAATGCTATTAACTTAGGTAGTGTAAATTCACTTTATATATTGCTGCGGTTGATTTGATATAATTGGATAATTGGAATTCGTTATAAAAGGTTATATATATATATAAGATAAAATTTTTACTTCCCAAAACCAAAAAATAAAAAAATGTATCTTCATCGTGTAAATACTTTTGTTCTTGTGAGATCTATACGTCTACCCACCTCTTAACTAAACCCTGCACATCTTAAAATGAAATACTTAAATTTTAGGAACTACATACATTAATAGTCTACCTATTATATAGGGCTTGAATCAAATTATTTATTTTGTTCTTACGTTACAACAGTTATAACATTAACAATATTTATTAGTTATACGTTTTAAATTATTAAAACGTTATGACTTTATAATGTTTACCGTTTTGTGTTATTTAAATAATATTAATTTGTATGTTTTACACGTTTTTCGATATTCAAACGTTATTGAATTTTTATGTTTCTCATTTTGCGATATTTAAATGTTATTGACAATTTTTTACATTACTAAAAATTAACCCATTATTGCTCTATTGTAAAATTTACTTCACATAGTTTTTATGTTGAGAAACACTAGCCTGCTCGTAGATAGATTTCCCTCAAATTCATTATACATTATAACAAATCATCAATACGTTTTTGTTTACTGTTAAACTTTGCTTTATTTCGCTTTTAGTGTCAGTGATTAAATCAACATTCGATTGTGTAAAATAACAGTCATAGCCAATACAGTACTTTTTCATATTTTATTTTATTACTTGTTTTTTTTTATACAAGTTCATTATGCCGACACATCATAAGTTCATAATAACATAACACTATTGTGAACTGCTCTAAAATTGTTCTAATTTGTTAAATTTTTTTATTTTTTTCACGTTTGCGTTCTATTTGAAAAAATGTATAACGTTCATGTGAACGTGAGCTCATGAACAACGTTCTTTCGTACTGATTATAAATATGCACCAGTACGAGCCGTACTCTAATAAAATGCTTGTAATTAGAGTTATTAAAAACACGCTTTTAAAAAATAAACCTGTTTAAAACATAAGTAGTTTAAAATGTCCCATAAAACCAATGTAAATTTTAAAATGTTTAAAACACTGTTTTAAACAGGCATTGTTAAAAAAGTAACAACCCTACTTCTAACGCAATAATTACTTGCTCTAAAATGATTATTGAATAATAATAATAATAATCCATTATTTTTTTTTTTTAAATAAAAACTCTAAAATGTAGCTAAATCGCCCTGTACATATAAAATATATTTAAAGAAATAATATAAATATGTTTTGTTCATAAAAATTTAAGATTTTTATAATTAGTCTTTTTTTGTTTAATCGATCTTTTGGTAAATATTTTTAAATTAATGAAAATTATATCACATTTTTCAAGTACAAAAGTCAAATACATAAGTTTTATAATTTTTGTGTGCAGAGCATTCTTTGTGAAACCATTTTTGCGCAGACAAAATCTATACGACACAGTGGCGTAGTTTGCTTTTGTTTTAAGAAGGATATACATGAAAACATTTTTCTCTATCCCTACTATAGTAACTCAAAAAAAGAATGTATATGTAAATGGTAGTATTTTCTATGATTAAAATAATGTATAAAATTAGTTACTTATTGGTTTTGTATTGAATAATTGAGTTACTATATATTAATTGAATAAAATGATATAATGTAATTTTTTTCTCGAGATATGAGCACGAGGGTTTTATGAGAGGATATAAAATATAGAAACTGAAGTGATGTTTGAAAATTTATTAATATAATAATAATTTAAAATATAAATTATTATGATTAATTATCACACATACATTATCCATAACACCACTCGTACCAGTAGTTATCTAAGCTTGTACTGACTATGAGTCATATCAATAAATACCTCGAGTAGTATAGGAACCACAAGTGAGTTTTATATCTTTGTCAGAGAGTCTTTATTAGTATTGACTACACAGGTACACTCAAAGATTGGACTAGGCTGGCTAACTTTGTACAAACGTTATTGATTTTCTTTATTTATATATACAATATTTTATTCTAGAGATCACTTAATATTTCTGGATCCCTAGTTAATTTATATACTTATAATAATTAACTTTAAGTCTTATAAATCTTCTGTGAAATATGAATTTACCTTAATGATGTCAGAAGTAAGGTTGAAAAAATAAATATACTTCAATTTTCTGTGTGAATTTGAAAATTTGTCGAACCATTTCTTGCACTTGTTGAAAGTTCATAAAGTGAAGCAGGAGTGTGTGAATGACAGTTTTTATGCCCTTTTTATATAAAATATAATTCATCTATATGTGCAAGAAGTGTCACGGCCTTTTACTAATATCTGTTTATTACTCAATTGTGTTATTTATTACATATTATTTTACTTAAAATAAATGATTTGTCACAACTAAAGAATTTCTTATAGTTATTTTGAAAATCCGAGCACGCTAAGTAATTTTTTCAGAAAAGCGTTTTTTTCCTTGTTTTATTATATAATAAGATTACATTAGATTTGTAGTAATGCATTTTTAGACATATTTCTCGGTATAGTTTAAAGGATTGACATGAATATTTTATATTAAATTTGATGACTAATAGACCATAATTTATAGACTACTGAATAATGGGTGGTGAATGTATTATAACACTGCAAACCAAGAAAATTATATCTTTACCGTGTAAATAAATTTCTTCTAAGGTATCAATCCCCATCTCCCTCCCCCCCATAACTAAGCCACTTAACTGACATCTCAGTTTTTTCATACATTGTTGAGGATTCCAAATGAAAATCATTGAAAATCTGTCATGTCGGATTATAATGCTCACTATAAACGGCATAATTTGATTATACAATTTTTCAACAAATTTAAATTTATTCAGTACTCAATTTTAATAAGTATTGAATAATAATATTTTATTAAAGATTTTATGTTTAGCTAACACTTATTACTAAAAATATTGAAAATAAATGAAAATAGACTTACCAACAGATTAAGTTAACAGTGAAATATTGCATCAAACACTATAAAAAAAAACAAACGGTCATAATTTTGTAATAAGAAATAATAACGACTTGATACTGATATAGATTAACTCTGAGCTCCTAAAATAAATTTTGACACTTACCTAAAAAATGTTGCTTATTACCGAGTTACTAATATGGGTGGTATTAATTGAGGGACAGTATTACCCGTATCTCCCTTATATATTCATAATACTTTTTACTTCAAGTATTCGAACATAAATTCCAAATATATTTGAAATGTAATTTTAGTATGAGTGATTATTATGAATTGGGTACCATTGCAAAATTGAAAAAAAAATTAGATAGTTTTCAAGATGTATGCTTAACTAATAATGGTGGTAGATGATTTTAACAAAAAAATCGGTAGTTTCAACCGTAATAGCTTTCAGACAACAAAAAAATTAGATCTACTTAAAATTTTAAATGAGAAATATTTTACATATCGGTTGAAATAGACCAATAATAATTCTATGATTCTAGATTTTTAACATTTAATCGTACTCAAAACAATTTATTTGAATATAATAAATTGGTTTTTGCGATTGAAAATTGATTATTTATACATGTTCTTAATTATTTAAATTTTTTGTAATTAATTTGTAAATTTATTATTTTATATTCTAGGAAAAAGTAAAAGTATTTGGGATGAATTATATCATAGCAGTAACAATGCAACAAATCAAAATTATTTTTCNTCATAGCAGTAACAATGGGACAAATCAAAATTATTTTGCAATACCATTTAATAAATATGCATTCAGCTTTATTAAGAACCATAAATATAAATTTATTGGTATCCAAAAAGACAATCTATTTTTTCAAAATTTGTCACCAGAACCGATTTCCCGTTTTCATAATCCTCTTGAGGATGACAGCGTATTATTAAATGGAGACGTTGCATGTGACTCATATCATAAATATGAGGAAGACATAAAATTACTCAAAGAACTAGGAGTACGTTTAGTTTTCATAAAATCTTATAAAATATATTTTATAAGACTTAATAAATTTATAAATTCATTATTTAACATTTTAGTATTAATACTAAATTATTTAATTTACTCAATGAATTAATTTTAAAAAAAATTCAGGTAAAAGTTTATCGTTTTTCATTGAGTTGGCCAAGAATTTTACCAAAAGGACAAGATCATACTATTAACCAAGATGGTGTTGATTATTATCATAAAGTGATAGATTTACTACTCGCTAACAATATCGAACCATTGGTATGTATATTAGATGATTTTACATTATAACTCTATACATAGATAATAATAAAATATTAACTATAATAATTTTTTGTATCATTAATTAGTGAAAAAATTATATGTCCATTTTGTTAAAGTAAAAGGATTGACTTCGTGGATACTAATCACCTTGTGATGATTAAATAACCACAATAACATTTTAGATTAAGATTAATGTTACGCGTCGAGAAGATTATAGGAGTTCCATCTGCGTTACCCTACTGAATCTTCTCGAAGCCATTGAACCTTTTAAACGTAGCGTACTCTATAGGCCAATCACTCGTATACGTATAATATTTACAAAATTGTTTACTATATTATAACTTTAAAAAAACAATTCATTATTGTATTAATAGGTTACAATTTATCACTGGGACTTACCCCAATCACTTCAAGTTATTGGTGGCTGGGCAAATAAAAATATTATAAAATATTATGTGAACTATGCAAATTTCGTTTTTAAGACTTATGGAAATAAGGTAAATTAAACAAAATTTAGAATATAGAATTGACCTACTATTTCATAATTTTTTTCTCAACTATTGAAAATAATTATAAATATAAACATATTGTCGCAGTCGAGAATAAAGAACCTATTATTAATTTTATAATGAATTTTGGATTTTTTGTAATATTAATTCAAAATAAAAATTTTAATTATCTCTGATATTCATTAAATATTAAAATATTTTTGATTTGTTTGGAGTTTTTAAAATAAAATAAAATCGTTTAATCATTTTTTTTCAAGATAACTACGATAATTTACAATTAGATTAAAAAAACTTCGCATTACTAACAAAAATAATTAAGCAATCCCTAATTATAATTTAACTTATATATACTCACTTTTTTATAATAGGTTAAGTATTGGACAACGATCAATGAACCCAGGATGATATCTGAGGGTTATGGAGGAAATTATCCAGATGCTCCACATTTAGGTGAAGCTTATAGTGGAATAGCAGATTATATGACTATTCATAATCTTCTATTAGCTCATGCTAGAGCCTATAGACTGTATGAAAGGAATTTTAAAACCAAACAAAAAGGTAAGACATATTTTAGTTTTGGGTTTATTAGAAGTGTTCGACCCATTTTTAATACGCTTATATTAGTTTCACATGTATGAGGGTTGTGGGCTGTGTGTAACTCTCCACGCGCACGTGTCGCGTCGTCTATGACCTTGAGACTAGACTGTCGTAACGCATTTACCCCACCCCGCTCACATCACGCGGACAACACTATTCCTGTATAATTTTATATTTTTGGTTTTCGTACCCGTACACGCGTGCCTGTAATCAATTATATATAAACAAATTTTTATTTTGACTGACCAAAAGCGTGTAATGCGCCTTACGTATATATATTTATATACTCCTACCGCCGTTTATACCTTAGGTATAACGTTCCCCCCGCCCACAAAACACAGCTATACCTCGTGCATGATACGTTTACGTACTTAAGTCGCTTTACATGTATATATATATTCTAATTGCTATTAAAATTTATATATTAACACGCTTTATTCTGATTAAGAGATATAAAGTGTATTCATTCCGATTACGAGGGATGATTCCGGTATCGTCATTTTTCGTCACTACCTCCACGTTCCGGGAGTGGGTAATTTGCGCGCCTGCTACTTTCCTTGTATGTGGTAGCCGTTTCTCAGACTGCCTCTCCGGAATCAAACCCTGATTTCTCGTTACCCGTTACAACCATGATATTGATAGTAACTACTATCATAACATGAAAATAAAAAGTAAAAAAAAAACCCATCACACTGGTGACGTGGCATAGTTGGATCAAGTATAATGATATCTGACAGTGATTAAAATCACTATTAAAAAAAACGCATCGATGCAAATCTTTAGATAATGTTTAATTTTAAAAAATTAGTGGATTATTCCAAAAGCTACATGATCTGCTATTTTCTTATAAATATCCTGAATGAAAAAGGGATTATTAAAAAATATTATTTTTCATAAAAAAATTGTGTTGATCCATACACTTTTCATTAAGTTATAGCATTATAAAGTTAAAAATTAAAAAAATAAAATCAAGAATTTTCACACGAAAATAGCATTCGGTAGCCATTTTCACCACGAAGACAAGTCCAGAGGTCAAATTTTTTTTTCCATAATAAAATACATTACATTAGCTTTAATTTAAGATATATATAAAAGTGTCAGACCTTCCGGAACACTTTCAAAAGTTAAGTTGAAAAAGTTAATTTTTTGTGAAAATGTTGTCATTTTAAATTCCCCCCTGTGGGCAGGTAAAGGGTTAATTTATAAAAAAAATATATCAAATGATAGGTAAAGACACCAAGCATCTATAAAAAAAAAAATTATATTGATATGTTCATTTTTGAAAAAGTTATGGCTGTTTTTAGTAAAGAAAATTGAAAAAAATTTCGAAAATTAGCGATTTACATCTTTTAATTACATAGTAAACGTTTTTTTAAACAGTCGACGCTGAAACCGAAAACAAGAAGGATTATCATATACTTTGTTATAAAGAGTTAAACCAGCTTAGAGCTGATTATATTCATAAAAATTTTATAAATCGACCGCTTCACCACTATAATCTTTCCTTGTGAGTGAGATAACAACTCAGTTTGGAATCAACACTCCCCTTTACAACAACAGCCTAATCATCTATGTCACACATTTTATAGTTAAGATATCATTCATTAAAAAAAAATCTATTATGGTCTATAATAATTTTAATAAGTGTATAATATATAACACAAAAAAAACATGTAACTAATAAGTTACTTGAAAACTTGTTAAAAAAATAAAGATAAACTAAATAGAAAGATTTAAGGTGGTTAATTAACCAAGATTGGGATATTTGGGGTTTTGGTCAATGGGTGAGCATCGAGGTTCTATTGGGGTTGTAGAGTTCGAGGGTTTAGAACAATAAAAACAAGTAAATATAAAATGAAAAAGGGTGTTATTCTTATGTTGAGGTATAATAATAATGTAATTAACTAGCATTAAAAATATGACGCTAAAGTATTCTTGAAGTGGCCCGTGGCCTTCTTTTAGACACCCAGTCAGTGTGAGCATAAATCAATTATTGACGATTATTATTATTTAAGGAAGATATTTCACCTAAGTATTATTGTAGAGGCCGAGGCCTTCTGTCCAATACCTTGTCGAGGTGATTATCTTAAAAATGGTGGATATAAATGTGAAAATCTATTGATTTATTATTCTTTACTCAGATTGTTAATTCTAAATAAACGGGATAGATCAAATTGATTTACCTTGTATTCAAATTAATAGTCGTTGATTTGAAGTTGCTTTGATCGTTGATTTAGTATGCGTAGAAATGTCTAATTTAAAATCTCGTTTAAATATACTAATAGTTTCACCAATGAAGATATCGAGGGCATATTTTATAATAAAGTTTTAACACAAATGAATTATATTAATCACAAAAATATACAGACGACAACACGAGGCCGCGATTTATCGAACGAAGTATGCGAATGTGTCGAATGGGATGCGATAAAGAAATCGAACGCGATGATGTTCGTAGGCTGTTTGGTCTTTTTATAGTATATTAATTACCCCCAACTTAGGGATATAGTCGTTAACGCCTTTTAGTAAATACATTTTTATTGTGACGAAATTAAACATTTCATGATTATTATTTTAAGATAAGACACGTGGTTAATAATGATTGAGTTAACATGTATACAATTAATAAGACAATGTGTACGGTAGTGTAATTATTATGACAAATAAATTATTTGTTTGTATATAAGTAATATAAAATACAGATAATAAATTTTTCATTGATAAATGTAAGATGCGTAATACAATGCATTGGGCATATTACGATAAAGAAATTGATCAATATATCGTAAATGTAAATTTAAAATTAATTGAAATGACGGTTAATTAATAGTTAATAACGAATGCATAAACTAGAATAATATTTTGGCAGATCTTCTTGAAAAAAACTTTAACTAATGACAATTGTAACTAAAATATGTAGTGAAAAAGAAAATAGTAGTCGGGATTTTAAGAGGTCTATACTACTAAAAAGGTATTAGATTTTTTTATTTATTAAGTTATAATAATTAAGTATCGGCTAGATTTAAATAAATATTTCTTATAGATATTAATTTGGTATAAAAAAGAAGACTATTATAATCATTATGTATTCTATATACAGAATCTATAGGCTTTCTAAAAAAATTCTCTTTAATTTAATTTGAATTTATTGCTTTATTGAACTTTCGGTCAATCAAATCAAATTAGAGAGAACTTTTTTAGTCCTGAATATTCGGCTCATCTCTAATTATTACATAAATGAATAAACAAGTTAACAGGATCTGTAAAAATATAATGAAATGAACCTTATAATTCCCAGAGTAATATTTCAAGACTTTATATTTAAACTTTAAGTTAATTATCTTAACATAAATGACGGATCGGGGGGTTTTACTTGACAATCGAATAATATCAATTACAAGCAGTAATTTTATTATACACATATATATATAAACTAATAGATATTCAATATACCATTACATTAACATTAGAGTANTACTTGACAATCGAATAATATCAATTACAAGCAGTAATTTTATTATACACATATATATATAAACTAATAGATATTCAATATATCATTACATTAACATTAGAGTAATAATCGTAAAAACAAACAAAACATCACCCAGCCATCAGCCATCCATAGTGCAATTTAATGTTGAATCGACTGCCAAACGCTTCCCAAATAATTATTCCTTTTACGTATGGAATGTCAACCTCCGCTGCTTTATTTCAGTTGTGCACTCGCGTAATAGCACGTAACGGATGATATAAACTGTTGGTTGTCGCCTAAACAGGCCAATACAAACCAGCCAACAATAGAATAAAATTAAAACACGCCAGCTCACTGGCCACGAGTCATCAGACCCAAACGGTACGGTATAACTTCAACCGCGTACACAGACGTAACGCCAGCAAGGTGTCGGTAGTGCCGGACACGATTGTTGTCATTCCATTGAGTAGGGTAATGCCATTTCGAGCTATGTGGATCTTGACCGACTACACACATAACTTTTGTACAGGATCTTTTATAGTTGATACGACTTACGTTGCGATAATGTAGTCGACACTGGTTTTGAGGGTATTTAAAAAAAACAAACAAACCGAAAAGACGAACATAGTAATAATTTTCGCACTATATCGCGGCATTTTCGCTGGCGTCCGCGACGCGGTGTCCGGCATGATCCTCGGCGTGAAAAAGTTAGGGGTCCATTTCTCCAGCCCCCCCTTTTTTTAATTTCGTATTTTTTAATATCTCATTCGTTTGTGCATCGTTTGTGCAGAAATGTGCAATAATATATATAATAAATTTATTTGTTTCTTTTTTTTTAATAATTATAAAATATTTATTCATTATTAAAAATTAAAAAAAAAAAATAATTATCAAATTTTGTCAAAACTGACATAATCTTTTAATATAATATTAAGGATTGTCATTCATTTTTTAAGGGTGATTATTTAGTATTTAGTTATCCAAATGGTAGTTTTTCTATACTACAGTTGGCCTAATGGAATTTACGAAGTAACAGCAGTCATATTATTTATAAGTGTAATATATTTGAAGTAATTACACAATGAGGAAAATCCTTAAGTAATAATTTGTTTAGTAAAACCTAGGGTCACGAGCAGGTGGACAATTAAGCATATTTATTTTTATTGATGTACACCACTCAATTTTATTCTAATTCTAGTTTACTAACCTTTTTGTTTACACCAGTAATACGGTAGTAATGAGAGGCAACGCAGATTCACCACTTACGTGAATAAATTCAACACTATTAATTTATTAGTTCAAAATATGTTTTAATAAACATAAAAACAAGAGAAAAAATTACAAATCGCACTCGTGAAAGTTAACAAAATGTTAATGTTTAACGTTTTGTACGTCGTGAGTAAAAAGAATAAATAAAAATGACTTTGACTAGATACGATTTGTGATCTTTTGACGTATCGCTGAAAGAAATCCGTTCGGTGAGAGCTTTTTTTAGCTTCGATGCGAAGCTGATAAGGTATTGGTTTTAATATGATGTGTTTTTTTTTTGTGTCTGTTATCACTTTTTCTCAGCTCTCACCGAACGGATTTCTTTCAATGATACATCAAAAGATCACAAATCGTATCTAGTCGAAGTCATTACCCTCAAAAATTGAAAAAATTGACCTCGTTCCCTGTAAAGAGGGAAATCTCCAACTTGCGATAACGAATTTCTACCTAAATACTAAATTTAAATATAACTTTATCATTCTTCCACCTTTTAGCAACATTAATAATAAATATTAAAATTATTATTATTTAGAACAAATGAAATCTTAGCATACTCGACATTAACTTAATATAAATATACAGCGTCGCATTCAGAGAAGACACTGTGTTCNTAGTTCAAAATATGTTTTAATAAACATAAAAACAAGAGAAAAGATTAAAAAGATGTCACTGAGAAAACGATAGCCAGCTATTTTAGAATTTAAGATCTTTATGCGATATAGAGGAAAAATTGTTGATAAGAATAAAAAAAAATCAGTTATTGGGGCAGCGGAATGATGTACACAGGTGTGTACCAAATGCAATGTTAGAGTCTATGGGTAACTGTTGTCATGGTGCCCTATGTTTAGCGATACGTTGGATACACGGCCACCCGTCTTCTTCTTCATCAACCTAGTCACTTTGCAAGCTCAGTCTAATTAGAGTACCTCTGCTTGTCTGCTAAAGTACAAAGGCTTATCGACTGGAGTGCCATATTTTTCGTATATTGAGTTCCCGATGCTTTTTTTCACAATAATACTAGTATTTTTCGTTCATTATTGTTTTAAGCTTATTTTAAAAATTATTTTTAACTTATTAGGTCAATGTGCTTTAAAAGCGATTTTTTAAACTATATTTTTATTTATTCTTTTTACTCACGACGTACAAAACGTTAAACATTAACATTTTGTTAACTTTCACGAGTGCGATTTGTAATTTTTTCTCTTGTTTTTATGTTTATTAAAACATATTTTGAACTAATAAATTAATAGTGTTGAATTTATTCACGTAAGTGGTGAATCTGCGTTGCCTCTCATTACTACCGTATTACTGGTGTAAACAAAAAGGTTAGTAAACTAGAATTAGAATAAAATTGAGTGGTGTACATCAATAAAAATAAATATGCTTAATTGTCCACCTGCTCGTGACCCTAGGTTTTACTAAACAAATTATTACTTAAGGATTTTCCTCATTGTGTAATTACTTCAAATATATTACACTTATAAATAATATGACTGCTGTTACTTCGTAAATTCCATTAGGCCAACTGTAGTATAGAAAAACTACCATTTGGATAACTAAATACTAAATAATCACCCTTAAAAAATGAATGACAATCCTTAATATTATATTAAAAGATTATGTCAGTTTTGACCAAATTTGATAATTATTTTTTTTTTTTAATTTTTAATAATGAATAAATATTTTATAATTATTAAAAAAAAAGAAACAAATAAATTTATTATATATATTATTGCACATTTCTGCACAAACGATGTACAAACGAATGAGATATTAAAAAATACGAAATTAAAAAAAGGGGGGGCTGGAGAAATGGACCCAAAAGTTAGCAGCGTTGATGGCGACGGAGCGCGGGTGCGGATCGGTTCGTCGAGACCGGTCGTGCGGCACGCCGGAACCGGTGACGTACGTCCTCGACGATGTCACTTTGACAACGGGAAGAAGACTCAACGTATCATTTGCGGCAGGTCGTCGTCGGCCGTACGACACTTGCTGGATTTTGCACCGTGGCGTATTGCACACGGTGTTGGTCAGTCAAATCCTCATAGTAGGGCGACGTCTGATAAAGGTGGCACGAGTCGCTTGGCTCGTGAAATGTCTGATTCAAATAAATCTCTTCTCAATTTATGACCATAACATTGTTATTTTATGAATTTGAGTTGATGTTAACATTTTTTGATTTTAGGTGAAATTTGCATTTGCTTCGATACATTATGGGGATTTCCAAATGATGAAAATAGCGAAGATGATAAAAAATCAGCTCAACTATTATTAGATGCTTATGTAATTATAGAATTAAGCTTGTTGGATTTATTATTTGTCTAACTTTATTTATATATTATTTAACAAGGTTGGACTATTCGTTGAACCTTTAGTAACTGGTGAGTTCCCAAAATCGTATTTAGAATCAATTAAAGATACGAATAAAAAAAAAAATATCAATATTTGGCGACTGATTCCGTATACCGAAGATGAAAAAGAACTAATAATTGGTAATATAACTTTTAATTTTTATTAATAGAATGTTTTTGTTCTTATTATTTCAATTATTAAATTGAATGTTTTTTGTCCCATATGGCAGGCAAATTTCACAACCTTAACTGCTACATTCTCATTATGGCTTTACTAGTAAATGTTGGTGACCTTTAACTAGTTAAAAAGTTAATTTTTTTTTACTTTTCAACCTAACTAGTTAATTATTTTTCTAATAAACTTTTTAACTTGACTAATTTAATTTTCCGTTGAAATAACTTAGCTTTTATAGTTAATTTGTTAAAATAACACTAAAGCTAATCTCAAAATTTAAAAAAAAAAACGATTTTTACCATATGCCAAATTATTGTTATAATTTTCTGAAAATTTTCAAAAATGTATGTGATTTTTTTTTAATAACTAGTTTTAAAGATAAAACAATGTAACCCACACTAAAATGTACCAAGCGAATAAAAAAAAAACCCAGCACAGGGGGGTCGCGGCACAGTGGTGACGTGACATATTTGGATCAAGTATAATGATATCTGACAGTGATTAAAATCATAAAAAATGCTTCGATGCAAATCTTTAGATAGTGTTTAATTTTAAAAAATAGGTGGATTATTCCAAAAGCAACATGATCTGCTAGTTCGTTATTAATATTCTGATTCAGATAAAGTATGTCGAATGAAAAATGGGATTATGAAAAAATATTATTTCTCATAAAAAAATTATATTGATCCATACATCTTTCAAAAAGTTATAACATTATAAAGTCAAAAATATAAAAAAGAATTTTTTTACAAAAATCGTATTTTTTTTATTAAGTTTAATGTCTGTTTTTACCATGAAGATAAAATAAAGTCCGAAATTTTTTTTTACCATTATAAAGTATATTACATTAGCTTTAATTTAAGATATATATAAAAGTGTCAGACCTTCCGGAACACTTTCAAAAGTTAAGTTGAAAAAGTTCTACTTTCTATATGCATTTTTATGTTTTGAATCCCCCCTGTATTAAGGGAAATGGTCCGATTTAAAAAAAAAAGTATGTCGAATGAAAGATCTATATAAATACTACTTCTCATAAAAAAATTGTAAGGATCCATACATTTTTCAAAAAGTATAGCATATTAAAGTTAAAAATGTAAAATACAAAATCGAAAATTTTCACACAAAAATAGCATTCGATAGCCATTTTTACCGTGAAGACAAAATAAAGTCCAAAATTTTTTTTTCATAATAAAGTATAATACATTAGCTTTAATTTAAGATATATATAAAAGTGTCAGACCTTCCGGAACACTTTCAAAAGTTAAGTTGAAAAAATTAATTTTTTGTAAAAAAGTTGTCATTTTAAATCCCCCCCTGTGGGCAGGTAAAAAGTTAGATTTATAAAAAAAATATACCAAATGATAGGTAATGACATCATGCATCTATAAAAAAAAGAATTACATTGATATGTTTATTTTTAAAAAAGTTACGGCAGTTTTTAGTAAAAAAAATTGAAAAAATTTCGAAAATTCGTAATCTTTTCGGAGGTTTCCCCCATTTACGGGGAACGAGGGAATTTTTTTCAATTTTTGAGGGTAATATCTTCGACTAGATACGATTTGTGATCTTTTGACGTATCATTGAAAGAAATCGGTTCGGTGAGAGCTGAGAAAAAGTGGTAACAGACACAAAAAAAAAAAAACACATCTTACTAAAACCAATACCTTCTCAGCTTTGCATCGAAGCTAAAATATGTTATCATTAATATTTTCTTCTTATTCAGTTTAAAAGTTGAAAATCGATTCTTAGCATTCCATTGCATCACCTACCAATAAAAAATGATTTTGAGAGATTTTAGCCGAAATATTAATTTTAAATGAAATAAACTTTTTTTAAACTAGTTAAGTATCAAAAAAACTCAACTTATCTTTTAACTTAGCTAGTTAAATTTATAATTTAATAACTTTTAACTGTTAATTTATCGACATTGCCCATTTTTGCTAGTAGAGTCATAGTTAGGGTGTAGCTATGAGTTTTTAGCACTGTATTGAAAGGGATATGAGAGTAATAACTGATTTACATTACTGTTTTACGATGAACCTGAAACTATTTCTACCCAAATGACAACTTACTCAATGACTTTTATAAAAAGTTATTCCATAAGCCTAGTAGACTAATTTTTATAATTTATGGTGGGTTTTGGAAATAATTTTTAATTTTTATCAGATATTTGCTTTTTTCTTTGTTTCGCGTTGTGTGATCTACGAATTTGTCTATCAGAATAAATCAATCCTCATTTTGTGAATATCATTTTTAGATCTTATATCAAAAATATCGTCTTCTTTATTCTTAATTGAATGATACTTAATTGCTACTGTAATGAAACGAAAATTTAAAAAATTGGTTTAGAACAATAAAACATCAATAATTTATTACAATCATGATTTTATTTTTAGAATGTGGGTAATTTAAACAATTGCTTACAGGATGATATGATGAAATTGTCAATTTTAAAATAACTAAAATACCAATAATTGAAAAATGTTTATATTATTTGAAAGCATATAAAAAACCTTTTTAAAATGTTAATTTTTCATTAAGATAGGAAAAATACACATAAAATTAAAAGATTATAAAATGTTGAAATAGCCATACATTGTAGATTGTTTTAATTTTTATTTCATTTGACTTGAGAAATAACTTTCTGAAAAAGGAAGAAGACCTTTGGCTAAAATGATTTTATTATCACTATGGATTGTTTTATATATTTTTTTAATGAACGTGGTATAGCGGATATGGATAAATTACTAATACTTTTTAATATTAAGCTACAGTTGCCACTGGAGCTCTTGATCAATCAAGAGCTCCAGTTTGTATGATCATACGGTAATTTAAAATATGCTCCAAGCAAAAGTCAATAAATAGACACTGTATACGATTAAATTTTTATACAAATCAAATGATATCATTTTTATATGTGTTATTTTCAAGTTGGGTCGGTATTTCAAGTTAACTATAAAAAAGTAATTGTTTTATTAATAAGCAATAATTTTACATTAATAACATTTATCTTTTCTTTTATAATTAGACAGTTAATTTGGATACAGATTTTAACTTTATGATCTGTGACACCTTTTTTCAGGAAGTTATGATTTCATATCAGTAAACTATTATCATTCATTAAATGTTACCGCTATGACAGAAGCAGGTATACAGGGTGTTCAGTAAGTCAGGAAACGGGTATCTATTGTTCTCATTGTTACAAACAATGAGAACAATAGAAACCCGTTTCCTGACTTACTGAACACCCTGTATATGATCCAAATAATGATTTAAAAACAATTGATCAAAGGGCTATAACACCTAGTTGGGACGAAAAAGAAGAGTTACAAGACGTAACATAATAATAATTTTTTTTTTAATAACTTGAACTCAATTTACATTTTTTTTATAGATTGTATTGGGATTTAGAAATGTAATGCGTTTTTTAAATGATACATTTGGAAAAATTTCTGATATAAGAGAACCCAAATTTTTTATTTCTGAAAATGGGTTGGCTGATGATAGTGAAATTAATAAAAATAAAATTGAATATCATCAGGTAAATATCATGAAAATTACGTGATTTAGTTATTGTAAGAACATAAATTATAATTATATATAAATAATACCCTAAATTATTATCTTTATTGTGTTATCATGTTATATTTATTACTATAGTATTCAATAGTATTAATTAGTAATACTAATTTAATATACTAAGTTTAATAGTGTTCATAAATATTAAAATTAATTTTATTATAATTCCTAAAAAGTCTTTAATTACACAATAATAATAAAAAAGAGTCGGCATATGTTGAGGGTTAATAATGGTATCATTGTTTCCCAAAAATGTATTCACGAATTTTTAGTAATTTTTGTAGTTTTTAAGTTAAATATTATTTATTTATTTTTTAATTTTAAATTAATATTTATAATATATTTTTGATTTTAAAAAGTCTTTTCATTTTTTATAAATTGAAAATATTTTTAGGCGATTCTTACCGAAACAAAAAATTTGATTGATGATGGTGTTAATATAATTGGGTATAGCGTTTGGTCGCTAATGGATTCTTTTGAGTGGGTCAGTCCTAGGTAAGCTAAATTAAAAAAATTAAAGAATAATAAAAACTGTTCATTGTTAAATTTTAATTATTAAAATATATATACGGTTTATTTTTTTAGCACTAGCAAGTATGGAATTTATAAAGTTGATTTTAGAGATCCTGATCGACCTCGCACAAAAAAGCCATGTGTGGAGTATTTTAAATATGTTTTTCAAAACAAGACTTTACCAGATATTTCTACAATTCCAGATTTTTCATATAAGAATATAAATTCTTTGATTTAAAATCAAAAAAATGATCGCCTAAATCCTTAGATTACTTTTTGTTTATTTTTCATACTATTTTATTTTATGTAATTTAAAATTATTGTGTTGGATAATGAGGTATAATAATATATTTTAAATCTAATAATAGTTTCTTTATTATTAAATATGTGTTATACAAGATTATATTTAGATGAATATTGAAATTTACTCAAACATCATTGAATTATGATAATTTTATTTTTAAATGGATTGCAGAGGATTTCAGTTCTTAGATTAAGATGTTGCAGTGTATACAAATGAAAATTAATAAATTTATCATTTATTGATAATCTATTGAACAAAATAATGTTCATTAAACTTGTAAAAATTTGTCCATAATAAAATATTCATCATAGTTCTTTATATTTACTATTTGCTTAATTAAACATATGATATCTAAAATTATGGCATTTGTGTTTTCTTTAAATAATGCTTTTTTTATCCTATCAATTATTTAGAGCTATTAAAGTGAAGGTGATAAATTGTAAGTTTGGGTGCAAGAAGGGCATTTCCTAAAAATATATATTTTAAATATTATTTTTATATAAATTAGTTTAAAGATTCAAATGTAGGTCACTTTTTCTGTTTTGCTTATATGGTAATAATATTACCATCATTTTACAGATTGAGTCTCAAATAAAATAATCATATTATAGTATTGTTTCTATTAGTGTTAATAAAGTTATAAATAAATAATATATTTGAAAATAAAAATGTCTTTCTTGCATTAGGTAGTATTTACCTATGTTGTTTTAATTTAAAAGATTAAAAAACAATAATTTTACAGTAAAAAACGTCATAAAAAATATTTATTTATTTCCACACATTACTTTAATATGTCATCTGACTGTTCCTCAATTTTTTCTTGATTCATATAATATCATTATATGTATCAACTTATTATATTATATACGACTTCAGGCCCGTGCGCAGGATTTGACAATGGGGGGGGGTTTAAAAAAGATTTATATTTAATAGATAAATCAATAACTACCTAATATTATATACTATATATTTATAATATAAATAANATAGATAAATCAATAACTATCAAATATTATATACTATATATTTATAATATAAATAAATCATGATAAAACTATAAAATTAAAAATTATTTTTTTAATAAATTTAATCTACGATGAGTAGAAAAGAATTCGTTTAATACTTCGTTGATATCTACATTTATGTCACGATGGATATTCAACAAAGCTAGTCCGTTTAAACGATCTTCACCCATAGATGAACTTAAATAGGTTTTAAGCCGACGTAATGTTGAAAATGGCCTTTCATTAGTCACTGTAGTCACCGGCAAAACTGACATTACACATAACATTTTATGAACATTTTGAAACGAATCTGAATTACAAATATCGAGGGCATCGAGGGCGTTTCGAATATTTTTACCAGCTTGTCGTCGTCGCCAAATTTCTATCTCATTTATCCAAATTTCTGGGGAATCGCCGTGTAAAATTGAACAATAAGTTTTAAATAACTTTTTACATGAATCTTTGTCTAAAGATTTTGTTTCAATAGGAAAAAGACATGAGAAGTTTGACAAAATATTACGATGCTTGAGGAAGCGATCTTGAAGATGAGTAATAAATAAATCAAGGTATGGTATGTAAATAATAATTTTGTAATAATCTTTTACAGAGTCGGTTATAATGTTAGAACGGTTAATTTGACGTGAGGCAAGTCTAGGTTTAGTCACAGGTATATTGTACTTATTGCAAATATCTTCTACAGTTACAAAAATTGTGTTGAAGTTATCTGTAGAATATTGTCTTCTTTCCTCAAGTTCGTGTTTTGCTGCATCTGCCAACTTCATGGCCTCGACTAAATCTTGATTTTCCGCTTGTAAAACTCTACTCAGTGATAAAGACAATGCATGTACTGAATTTAAAACGTGAATTGAAATNTTAAAGCACATCGAACTAAAAAGTTAAAAATAATTTTTAAAATAAGCTTAAAACAATAATGAACAAAAAATACTAGTATTACTGTAAAAAAATTAACTTAAAACAGAAATAAACGAAAAAATACTAGTATTATTGTGATTAAAGCGTCGGTCGCTCAATTTACGAAAAATATGGCACAAAGCACCCACGCTTTTATCACAATAATACTAGTATTTTTTCGTTTATTGTTTTTCACAATAATACTATTATGTTTCGTTCATTATTGTTTTAAGCTTATTTTATCACACAAAAATACTAGTATTTCTCGTTCATTATTGTAGTGACGAAAAATGACGATACGGGAATCATCCCTCGTAATCGGATTGAATACACTTTATATCTCTTAATGAGAATATAGCGTGTTAATGTATAAATTTAAATAGTAAGTAGAATATATATATACACAAGTAAAGCGACTTAAGTACGAAAATGTATCATGCACGAGGTATTTTTTGGGTGGGCAGTGCGCGGTGGGAACGCTATACCTGAGGCATAAACGGCGGTAGGAATATATAAATATATATACGTGAGGCGTATGGCACGCGGGCGGTATTGGTCAATCAAAAAAAATAATAATCATAGTAGGGCGACGGCTAATAAAGGGGGCCGTGTCACAATAAAAATTGTTTATATTTATATATATATACATATAATACTGATGAAACGCACGCGTGTACGCGTACAAAATCCAAAAATAAAATTATACAGCAATAGTGTTGTCCGCGTGATGTGAGCGGGGTGGGGTAAATGCGTTACGACAATCTAGTCTCAAGGTCATAGACGACGCGACACGTGCGCGTGGAGAGTTACACACAGCCCACAACCCTCATACATATGAAACTAATATAAGCGTGTTAATAATAATAATAGCGATTATACAATTATAGCAAGCCACATCGACGAGCGTCACGCAGTTAATTCTAAAAATAAATTATCCAATTTAGTAATATATTAATATTTTACCGTATGGACCACGTTGATATACCACAGACTCGAAAACACCTCTTGGTCGGGGCACCCAGTATCTTCGCCTATTATGGACACGACTTGACCAAATAAATTAATGTAATGACAATATTCTTTGACAGAACAAATGTAAATTTTATTATGACTAAATACAATATTACATAAATTAATCTACCGTTACTGGACAATTTTATATTTAAATTTTGTATGTGCAAGCTGGCCACTTCGTTCACCCGTATACAAGGACCAGACACGTTCTTCACAGCAATGGTTGAGCATCCAAAATTTCTTTTTGGCTATTGAACCGGCGATCACGGAACGTAGCTGTGGACTCTCAAATTGAAGCGCTCCACTGTCCGTCTTAGGATCGTTCCCATTAGCATAAGCGCCAAAACCAGACTCGCCGTACACCACGACGCGCAACAATTCAGATCGCGTTGGCCGGTGGTACGCAAGTGGCGCTACATCTGATCGGCGGCCGAACAACAAGAATCCAAGCTCAATGAAATTATAAACACAATTACTAAATGGAAAAACATAGAATCCTCGAGAATAGACAACACGATCATACAGAGACTGAGAATAGGACATACGAAACTAACTTATGGTCACCTAGTGGAAAAGAAAGATACGTGCATAGCAAAAATCACAGTGAAACATACACACGGAATGCCGAAGATACGTAGAAGTACGCGAAACCGAAAAATTGTCCATCCAAGTACCTACATCCTACGACACTAGGGACAGACCCGTAAGAAAATAGAAAAATAATTAGTTTTCTAAGAAAAACTCCAATGTATGATAAAATTTGAATTATAACCTAACTATATAATATTGAAAAATTTAATTGTAACTAATGGCCATTGCAGCCAAAGTTTTACTTTATAATAATAAAAAAAAAAACCGATTATATGCTTATAATAATTTAAGGCGGATTCTCACTTTTTCAAATTTCTCTATCTTACATTACAAACATTATTGCTCTTTTTTTTAACTTAATATTCGTAGGAAAGAGTAGAATATTGGAATACTTCGAAATTTCCAAGCAAATAATTTACACAACTAAAGACGTAATTTAAAATATAAGTGCCTAGGTTTTGCTATATTTTTTTAAGGACGGTCCTGATAATGGAATAGACATTGCAAAGAATAGTCTAAATTAACANAGGTTTTGCTATATTTTTTTAAGGACGGTCCTGATAATGGAATAGACATTGCAAAGAATAGTCTAAATTAATAACGTTCAGTAAAGTTCGATAATATTCTAGAAGGTAATACGTACCTCTCTTTAACGAATAGTTGCTGAGCTCGTTGAGAACTTTTTAGCCACTATACTAGACTGTTTATGTAATAAACACTATTAATTCAATTGATATTATTTAGAAACAAGTTGCACATCGAAAAAAACTTAAAGAACTACTTCTATAAAAAGTTTTTGATAAAAAATACTTATATGATATGCCACTGATAATAAAACACGTTATAAAATGAGTTTAAATATACATAACAAATATGACCGTTATGCTAAATATCTGAGATGCGGTATAACTTACCAATTCCTCCTCCCATCATCATATTTGTACTATATTACACACGAATAATTATACTCTATCATAGCGAATTCTTGTAGGTTGGAATAGAGCCGAGACCTACAAAATGCTCCAATTGAGCTGCCACCCAACCTTATCACTCTTTAACGTAGTTCTTCTATATACCAAATTTTTTTTTTTTTTAAGTAGGAATTTGGTGGATTATTCCAAAAGCAACATGAACTCTTATTTGTTTAATTATATCCTGATTAGTAATTCTTTGATTTTAAAATACAATATATGAATAAATAATAATTATAATTATTAAATTTAGTATGAAATTGATATTCAATACGGAGAAATTATAAAAATAATAAAGAAGTTATATTTTGCTATACTTTTACGTGTATAAAAATTTAAAGGGCTTGATACTGTTAGGGGTTTGTTTAATAGTTTTAGTAGTATTGAAAAAAATAATTGTATTTTATAAAGCTATTTTAATAATTTTATTTTGTAGCTAAATATCTTATACTATTTGTTTTAATAAGACAGTTACCGAAATAATTTTTGAACATCTAAAAAATTGAGGAGTATATTAAATAGTAATACTTATTTCAAAATTTTAGCTTCGATGCCCCTTGCGAAAAGAAATTTTTTATTCATATAAAAATTATTTTACTATATTTTAAGTTTTAGCTTCAATACAAAGCTGAGAATATATTTTTTTGTGACTATCATTTATTTTTCTGCTCTAACTTGACCTACTTTTTTCAACGATACGTCAAATGACTACAATTCGTATCTAGTTGAAGATATTACCCTCAAAAATTGAAAAAAAAATTCTTATTTATCAATTAAACAGTTACTCCCATGTTCTCTATACAGATANCAATTAAACAGTTACTCTCATGTTCTCCATATAGACAATTAAAATCATTCATTTCTAATGTTTTCAAAGTATTTATTGACGAATCAAGTTGGATATGATAATTTGATATGATAGGTTTCAACTACAAAATTAAATCATTTTACTTTGTAATTTAATACATTTTTTACTGTATTTGTGTGTACTACTACTAGACTACAATATTACAAATTTTTTGGTAACATGTTGCTATAAAAATCATTTCTAAGAAAAATGATTGTTAGTTTCTCCTAAATTAATAATGGATTTTTCCAATTATAATCAAATTTTATAATACGCTCAATTGAGTAATTCTTTTTAACAACTTTGTTTTAATTGGTTCATTTAGTTAAAGTAAATCATTAAAATTAATTCAGTTATGAATATTTCAATTGCAGAATCTTATCAAACACCAAAAGTTACTAGGAAATTATAACTATTACTTCTATTTAAGTTATCTATTACGATAAAAATGCAAAAAAAAACCCAGCACAGTGGAGTCGCAGCATAGTGGGGACGTTGGGTCCAGTATAGATTTAAACTGACAGTGATTAAAATCACTATCATAAGAAACGCTTCGATGCAAATCAGTAGATAGTGTTTAATTCTAAGAAATTGGTGG